CTCTTGCTGGGATTTTTCTCTGCGTGCAGCTCAGCTCCCTTGAACTGTGCTCACACTGTGCCGTCGCCTAGCACGCCATCTTTGTCTCACTTAACACAAAGCCTCTATTCAACCTGTAATCATTCTCACCCACCAGGTGTTTCATTGCTATACTCTTAAATCCCCGCCTTTTAACCCAGTTTAAACTCTTATTTTATTGTGTATACTCAAAGGAGTAACACTTTGCCCCTACACTTGAGAAAAACAGCAATTGACAAGCCCTTTTTACTTTTAAATCCATTGCTTAATATATATATTTTAAGTATAAATATATATATACATATATATATTTAAGGGCAGAAGCATCATTGTAGGTAATAAAGTTATGCTTGTGTGAATCTATTAACCTAAATTCCTCTCTGTTCAAGGAGGTAATCATTTGATGAATTAAGGATATCATAAACGGGGAGTGGGAGGCATCTCAGCGGGTAAAGTCCTTGCCTCACAAGCATAAGGACCTGACTTCAATCCCTAGCATCTCTGTACAAAAAGCTCCAAATGAAGCACACGCTAGAGGAGGAGGTGGCGGCAGAAGGATTCCTGGGGCACGCTAGCTAGCCAGCCTAGCTGAGATACTACTGAGCCTCAGCTCCCGATGAGAGAGAGAGAGACCTTGTCTTGAAAACTAAGGTGGACAGCTCCCGAGGAAAGGATGAAGTCGACCATTTTACATATGCACTCTCTTTCACCTCTCTCTCTCTCTCTCTCTCTCTCTCTCTCTCTCTCACACACACACACACACACACACACACACACACAGGCATGCACGCACACACGCGCACACACACACACATGTTGTGAGAAAAAAGAGATGAGAGCCGCTTCTAGTGGATGGAGGGAGCAGGCTTGGTGTGCAGCTGAGTTCGCATGGTGCCCAGCATTAGCTGCCTGAACTAGTTAGTTAAATGAACTGACAGCTTTGAGCCGCTGGGAATGATATGAACGTGACTTCTTGAAATTTGTCAGGAGTCATTCGGGTGGACATGGAAACATGTCTAAGTATAGATACTGTCTTAGTTTCCTTTCTGGTCCTGTGACAACCCCCATGACCAAGGCCACTTAGAAAAGAAAGCCTGTGACCAGATTGCTGTGTCAGAGGTGAGGATTCATGATGACAGAGCAAGGTTATGGCAACACACAGCTAAGACTTTACATGAGAGAGAGAGAGACAGAGAGAGAGAGAGAGAGAGAGAGAGAGAGACAGAGAGAGACAGAGAGAGACAGAGAGAGACAGAGAGAGACAGAGAGACAGAGAGACAGAGACAGAGAGACAGAAAGAGAGAGAGAGCTCTCACTGGGAATGAGTGGGTACATATATCTTTTGAAACCTCAAAGCCCACTCCCAGTGATCTCCTCTAACCAGGCCACACTTCCAAATCCTTCCTAAACAGTTTCACCAATTGGGGACCAAGTATTCAAACATATGAGCCCATGGAGGCCGTTCAAACCACCACAGTCACTATGTTATTCACTATGTTATAAAAACTCTCCTTGGGTGCACACAGGGCATGCCAGATGTAGGGGAGGTTCCTAGTTAACTGCTGTCAGGCTCGGAGCATCCGTTCCCAAGCCTCCTACGGAGTCACGTAAGGGTGCATCAGGTGTTGATCTGAACTATACACAGAATCACAGAGTCCTCCTATTCTCCAGTCACAGTCGTTTGAAGTTTCCTTACAAACAAACCTACTGTTAAGAGTGACTTCTAGAGGTCTGGGCGTGGCGGCGCACACCTTTAATCTCAGCACTCGGGAGGCAGAAACAGGTCAATCTCTGTGAGTTCAAGGCCAGCCTGGTCTACAAGAACTAGTTCTAGGACAGGCTCTAAAGCTACAGAGAAACTCTTTCTTGAAAAACCAACCAACAAACAAACGAGTGACTTCTAGAAGGTCAGCGTGTCTGAGCAGGGCGGGCCCTGCAGAGTCACCTGCTGCAGGCTTCCGTTTTGTAGAAGAGGAAACAGACCCATGGTTAGGACACGTGTGTGTCATGAAGATGAAGGAGTAAGTGTCCCAAAGTGTGACCTGTCACTCGGTCATTACTCCTGGTGGCGGATCTGGACAGACACTCAAAGGACTCTGGCCAGCTTGAGCATGGTGAGGGTGGCTCTGGCAGACCATGTCCTGCTCCCCCATTCCCGCTTCCTTTCTGAAAACCATGAGATTGCGTTCCTAAAGCTAACCATCAGGCCTGTTCCCGTATTTGACTTTCTCCTCCTGAGGCTGAATACCAAAGTCCAGCTATCGAAAGCACCCTTTGGTTCACCTAATTAACATGCCCAGTTATTAAACACCTCATCCTAACATGGGCCTTCCCCATTTACTTTTATAAACCGCCTTTTGCTTATGCGCCACATCTGCATCCCTCTGTCCAGAGGCAGTCCTCTGCCAATCCAGGACAGACGCCCCTTCTCCCCTTCCCCTTGTCCCTGTCCTTTCTCCTTTGTCGCTTATCTCCTTACTACCGTATCCTAGCCCATTCTAGCACAGACCTCCCCTTTTCTCTTCTTAAAAATGACACCTGCAAGGTCATTTGCTGCTGTTTTTCTGCTCAAGTCAGAAAGCAGCCACTTAAGTTTTCTTCCTCTTAATAAAGGATCTCTCTGTGAAAACAGGTGTTCGGGTGTGGTTTGTGCCTAATCTGGGGATCTGGGAGGAAGCCCCCACTGTTCCAGGGTCGCTGTCACCATCCAGGTGTTCTAATCCAGCACTCTTAGGTGGGCACGGAGCACCCTGCGCTGGGTTCTGAAATCTGACTGGAGTGATGAAGGAAGGACAGACAACACAGGTGTCTGGAGAAGCTGGAATCAGGGTGCCATGTTTGCTCTGATGTTGGGGCATCAGCCACTCAACAACCTGGAACCTCCTTGTGCTTGCTATGTACAGCACTGGGGGAAAAAGTTAGTCTCAGTAGGAGGCATCTGTTGGGGAACCACCTCAAGGAGGAAGCTGCTGGACACTCCCTGTGCACACTACCAGCACTTCCTGTGCACACTACCAGCACTTCCTGTGCACACTACCAACACTTCCTGTGCACACTGCCAACACTTTCAAGCAGACACAGAAGGGTTTTGCCCATTCCCATGGGCCTGAGGCATTGTCCTTATCAACAGTGCGCGGCCACTCAAAAGTCTTCCTCCACTCTTGTGACCAAGTGCTTATTTCACACTTTCATTGGGGAGAATGCATTTTTTTAAATGCTCTTTTTAAAAAATTGATTTTAGCCGGGCGGTGGTGGCGCACGCCTTTAATTCCAGCACTTGGGAGGCAGAGGCAGGCGGATCCCTGTGAGTTCGAGACCAGCCTGGTCTACAGAGCTAGTTCCAGGACAGGCACCAAAACCACAGAGGAATCCTGCCTCAAAAAAACCAAAAAAAAAAAAATTGATTTTATTGAGCTCTACATTTTTCTCTGCTCTTACTTTCCCCTCCCCTTCAACCCTCTCCCATGGTCCCCATGTTCCCAATTTACTCAGGAGATCTTGTCTTTTCATACCTCCCAAGTAGATTAGATTTACATATGTCTCTCTTAGGGTCATCATTGTTGTCTAGATTCTCTGGGATTGTGATTTGTAGGCTGGGTTTTTTTTTTTTTTGCTTTATCTTTAAAAGCCTCTTATGAATGAGTACATGTAATATTTGTCTTTCTGGGCCTGGGTTACCTCACTCAATATGATGTATTATAGATCCATCCATTTGCCTGCAAATTTCAAGATGTCATTTTTTTCTGCTGTGTAGTACTCCATTATGTAAATGTACCACGTTTTCCTTATCCATTCTTCAGTGGAGGGACATTTAGATTGTTTCCAGGAGAATGCACTTTTAAAACTTGAGTTAAAGTGACAGCAGCAACAGTCACAGTGCCCAACACTGAGCACCCAGTGATGATTTCCAGGCTAAGTGATGCATATTTGTGGTTTAACTTAGTCATTTTTTTCTTCACAGTGTCCTGTGACTTTCATATTTTTGACGATTGTATTTTACACAAGTTAGTGAAACTTGCCTGTGGCAACACCTTCATCCGTGAACTGTGCTAGGTCCAAAACCTGCTCTGACTTCCAAGTTTATCTTGTTAATTTTTTTAAATTAGAATTTATTTTTTTGTGTTTTGGGGTGTGAAGTAGAATGTGTGTGTGTCCAGGGCACACATGTAGAGGTCAGAGGACAACTTACAGTAGCCAGTTCTCTCCTTCCAATGGACCTGGGGATTGACCTCAGCTTGTTAGGTTTGTGTGGCAAGTGCTTTTTTCCATTGGACTGTCTTGATGGCTCTATGCATTTCCAAGCGGATTTTAAAATTCAAAGTAATACCATTTCATAGTACATTATAGTTTTATGAGATCCAGATATGATTCTCCACAAATAAAACGTTACTGGGACACAGCCACACTCATTTGTCTATGTATTGTTGATAGGATGGCGAACTCAATTGTTACCGCAGGGACCACAGCGCTGGCAGAGCCACAGGGTTTACTATTTGGCCTTTATGGTGAATGCTTGCCAGATCTTTTCTGTATTCCTCCCCAGTGATCCATTAGAGCATAATCGTGTGTGTTTAATAGGGCTTGTTTTCTACATGCAGCTTAGTTTGGTCCTTGACTGACAGGTCTATCAGGTGCTGAATCTAAGGGTTTCCCTCAAATTGACTATGTTTTATCTTCCTCAGTAGACTGAAGGATCTTCCTTCCTTGATCCCTCCTTCCCTCCCTCCCTCCCTCCCTCCCTCCCTCCCTCCCTCCCTCCCTCCCTCCCTCCCTCCCTCCCTCCCTCCCTCCCTCCCTCCCTCCCTCCCTGTCTTTCTTTCTCTTCCTGCTTCCCTGGATGTTGTCTGGAGACTTGACCCCAGACTGCTTTTCTCTGACTGTAGCCTGCGCCTTCCGTGCTCCTCTCCCCCATTACCGAGCTATCTTTAAACCTCTAGCATTTGGACGCAGAATTCACTCTTTCTTCTTCTTTCCCTTTGCAGTGGTTTGCTGTCTTCTGACTACGTGGAGATTCACTATGAGAATGGGAAACCAATGTACTCTAAGGTATAGTTGTTGCCGCCTTGGGTGGGTCACTAGTCTAGGGGTTGTAACCCACCCTGCAGCTAGTTATTCCAGGGTCACGGAGGGGCGCTACCTGGAAGGGAATGAGCTAAGAAGAAGGAGGCCAAGCAGATTTGTCAAAGCCTCAGTTTATTAGGGACGGGTTACAGTTTATATATGGTAAGGAATGGGGGGTAGGGTAACTGGATTCTTGCCGCGTGTTCCAGGTCACGTAGGCTAGGTTACATTCAGACAGATAGATAGGCCAGGAAGTCACAAGTTGCCACACCTGGTTCCCTGGGTAGCTGGAATGTGAGGCGTGTTCTGCTAACAGATTAACAGTTAATTGGGTGGGGGGAAGATTCTGTCAATAGAACATAATTATGGGTGTGAGGTTCCCTGCAGACTCTCCAGGGTGATGGTTCCTGTAATGATAGGGGGAAATGGCTCCTGACATATAGTAAAGGGGCCAGATCTCCTGCAACATAAAGTGTATCTGTCCTGAGGTCGGTCAGTAAGATTGCCCAGCCTCCTATGCAAGGGACTGACTTACTGAGGAAGAATTCACGAGAACTCAAAGTGCTGAGGCCACGTTAGATTCTGTATACTCAGGACAATAAGGGGATTTTATTGTTTTGATTTTACATCCATTACCTTGTTGAATGATCAGATGAACTTCACTGTTCAATATACCAAATACCATTTGGGTAACCCTTTTTAAAAATACTTGGAGCTGGAAGTCTTTTGGCCTTAATTTTTTAAAGTAGTTTTGTATACAAAGCGATTTTGGAGATATAGTTCTTTAATTTATGTTTCACCTACCCCATACATGCACAGCTAGAAGGCAATTTTGTACATTTTAGACGATTTTGTTTATGAAACAGTTTTGTGATGTGGATTTTTCCACTCCAGCTGTAATGCTGGTACTCTTGAGTTTTCGCGTTTTGGAGACTTGATTTCAGGCTTTCATGGCCATGGAATCAAAAATCATAAGACTGCGTGAACTCTTACAGAGACAGTTTAGTCGTAGCGCGTCATGCGTATGGGTAGAAGGCAGGTGGAGAAATGAGATTCGGGGGCTCTTCTTCTCTTTCCCTCTTTTGAGGCTGTGTAACCCAGGTTGGCTCCAGATGCTGAGTTTACAGGCACGTACTCTCAAACCCAACTTTATTTCATTATTTTATTTTATTTACTTTTTCCTGCTGGGGACCAAACTCAGGACCTTGGGCATGCTAGGCAATGCTGTACCACTGCGCTGAAACCCCAGCCCTTCACAACAGGTCCCTGTAGTAAAATGAAAGACACAGAGGCATAGAGAAGGCAAGAAACTTAATCAGGGCCACCACAGGCTGTAACCTAAACATAGTGGGGCACCTGAAATTATTCAGGTGGAAGCGATCTTTTCTTCTGACCATGAAGAACCAGTAAGGAACAAATTGGGTTAAACACAAGCAAAAGAGATATCGCTGGTAGTGCCTACCAAACAGTGATTTCCATGAGTCAGCCAAAAAATCCATGGCTGGTACAGAAAAGAAATTATGACTTTTAGTGGCGTTCTGGTGCCACTGAGGCTCTCAGTAGTGCCCATGTAAACCACAGCAATTGGGCAGCAAGCCAGAAACAAGCAATGGGGGAAACATAGAGTTTGTGTTTTGCAGACGGCTTATGAACATCAGCAAAGCGGCGGTACCAAGCGTGCAGACTTGCAAAGCTGTGATGCAGGGAGACCAGGATTCCCAGGCCATGTCTCAGCACATGCTTATGGGTGGCCTAATTAGAAACACTGCCCTCAGTCACGCTGTGAACCGGGTGCATGCTGACTCATGAACCAGAGGAGATCACACAAGGACTTTTCAGACTCAGCAAACGGCACACCTTTGCAGCCTCAGGAACCTGATGTGAACTTCTAAGGAGCTCACACTTATGTTAGAAGTACAATAGCTAATTGGTGTACAGAGTTCATTTGAAGTAGTGCAAATGAGGGCTTTTTAATAATAAGATATACCAAACCTCCTGTGGTTGCAACAATTTAAAGCAAAAGCTACATCAAATCTGGCCAAAGGAGCTATGTTCACTGTAGTTTGACTTTACCTCCATCCCCTTTGTTTCATGTATGACACATTTCCTTTAACAGCTCATATACCCTAATTTACTTGTCCACAGATAATGGATTAATGATAGCAAGCTAATGATGAGATCCTGACACACACACACACACACACACACACACACACACACACGTACATATCCTTAAGACCCAAGAAGATGTCACACATACACATTCTGTGCAGGATTTATAAAATCTAATGATAGTCTAAATGCTTTAGCATGCATGAAACCTATGTTTTTATTGGCTCATTATTAAAAACTGAATAATGTTCTTCTAACTTGTTGTTATTCATTTAAAAATATTAAACCATAGACATCAAGCTTGCGTCCAGCCTTCCCTCACAATTGTCCTAAGGACAAACTTCCCAGATGCAGTCTAAACACACTGTAAGTGTTGAAGGGTTCATTTGAAGAATAAGACTCTCTGGATCAAAGAGTTGTATATATTTTATGACTTTTGGTCATAGTGACAAGTTTTGATTCTGAAATTATGCACAATTTTGCCTAAATTCATGTTCTCATTACACCCATAAACTTAGGAGCACTTTAAAAGTGAGTTTTACAAAGATTGGCTGCTGTGCTATCTGAGGAAGCTTTTGAAAGGCGTACCAAAAGGGGAAGTTAATGCGGAGGAGTGGCGGGGTTTCTACCCATCCCGGAAGCTGATCTCAGGTGGCCCTGAGAGGCAGCCTAGTGGGTAAGAGTACGCCCTGCTCCTGCTTCAAGCTCTAAATCTGGGGGATTCAAAAGCCCTTTTCTGGATTCTACATTCACATGCAAGTTTCCACTGCACTTCCCATATACACCTAATTAAAATATGAAAGACGCCTTAACTGTTTAGACAAAGGAAGGTATATACATAAACACTCTCCACACCTTTTGAGTGCTGTTATCCGACTAGAGAAGCCTGTAATCATAAACAGCCTATGAGGGCCTTGAGGTAAAATATAGATGTAGATACTTAAAATGCTCTGGGACTTGGCATTCTTTGCATAAATTCCCGTTGGGATGAAAATCCTGATGCCTGGGTACTCTGAGCTCACGGTTACAGCCTTTCTATCTCTACCGTTCCTAGATGAGGTTAATGTCTTTTTCTTTTGCTGAGCGAAAATGGACTGAAAAGAGAAGTAAATACAGGAACTAGGGAGGAAGAGAATCATCAAGTTCATGGGCGAGGAGCCAGGCAGGTGTTTGCTAACGCAGATGGAGCATCTTCTTTCGTGTGCCCAGCCAAGCAGATTTTATTACAATTCCTTCTGTTGCCCCTTGCACAAAGTGCAATGTAATATACAATAAAGCAACTTTGTTGATTTCATTTTAAAAAGCAACTTATTTATGTTTTCTCTGCTTTAAACAGGTTTATTGGGGCATAATTTATATACTGTAAAGTACACAATTAAATTGTTTTTACTATACTTGCAAAATCATGCATCCATTAACATAATCTAATTTTCAGAGTTTTTCATCACCCCCACAAAGAAACGCCTTATCTATTAGCGGTCGTTCCCTAGCGGCTCTGCTTCCCGTCATAGGTAACTGCTAGTCTACTCTCCTGTCTCTATAAATTGCCTATTTGGAACATAAATGAAACCCTGTAATATGTGGTCCTTTGTGAGTGCTTTCTTTTTTCCCAGCTTTATTGAAGTATAATTGAAAAATGCAAATTGTATATTTAAGGTGTGCGACTTGGATTTTATACATAAGAATATCGTATAGTTGCGTTATGCCAAATGTCATGCTTTGCATGGGTTCGCTGGGGAACGATCAGCATCCCCTGATGAGTACATCCTTTACTTCCTGTACCCATTTTTGTTAGTGAGAACACTTAAAATCCACTTCACGGCAGATTCTTAAGTATGTAGTCACTGCGTGTCATGTTCTGTCTCCACAGTGTTTCACTCACATTCTTCGAGTTTTCTATGCCTTGACCAACATCTCTTCATTTGCCCGATCTCCCCTTGCCCCTGAGAGCCACTACTCTACCCTCTGATTGCGTGAGCTGGACTCTCTCATGCTACCTCCGAGGGTCAGTGCAGCATTTGTCTTTCTCTGCTGGGTTTTTCCACTTAGCACAGGGCCCCACCATGTTGCATAGGGGCAGGATTTCCCTCCTGCCCCGGCTGGGTCTTCCACTGGGGACAGATTTCTTCATTCACACGTCCGATATTTTCTCCAGCTTGGCAGTGTGAATGAAGCTGAGATGAGCCTACAGTGCAGTTGTCTCTTTGAGATTTAGAGTTCCCTTCTATTTTGGGATGGATATGCTCTCTTTAGTTGGCCATGCCAATCTGTAGATCTACAAATGTCTCTTTTCCCCACAAACCATTCCAACATAGAGTCCTTGCCTTTTTTCTTTTTTCTACAATAGTCATTCTAGTAAATGTGAGATATAGCTCCCTGTAGTTTAATTTTGCATGCCTCTAATGATCTTAGGTGTGTTTCCGTGAGTTAAGACATGTGTCCTTGGGACCGTGGAGATGGCTTGATGGGGCAAGAGCACTTGTCTACACATCTAAAGACCTAAATGTTTATCCCCAGTGCTCATGTAAAAAGCCAAGCATGTCTATGTGTAGTTGTGACCCCAACACTGGGGAATGGAATCAGGTGGATCCTGAGAGCGCCTTGGTCAATCAGCCCAGCTAAATCAGCAAACTTCTGTTTCAGTGAGAGACCCTGTCTCAAGGCAGTAAGGTAGAGAGACGTAGAAGAAGGCATCTCTCTGCCTCTGTCTCTGTGTCTTTCTCTCCACACACACACACACACACACACACACACACACACACACAGCCAGACAAGAACATGTCCACATAGAAACAGGCGCAAAGATGCTCACGGCAGCATTATTTACAACAGTCCAGAACCGGAGGCAACTGTCGCGGTCATCAGTGGATGAA